AGGAAATGGGCAGAAAGTTATCAATCTGAACATAGGATCTTCTGTGAAACTGATGACTTCCACCAATGAAGAAGTCGTAAGAGTAATTAAGACAGTGTTGAATAACAAAACAATTAGCACCAATATGAAAAGACTATCGGCAATTTTCCATGATGCTAAATTTACTCCACAAGAATCTGCAGCAAATGCACTAGAACACGTTTTAAAATTTGGTGGAGCTCATTTGAGACCTACATCGTGTGACTCAAATGTATTTTCTCAATATATGGTAGATGTTTGGTTCATAATATTTACCTTTATTTTCATCGGCTGGTATCTTACCTTCAAATTTATCAGCTGTTGTTGCCGACGTATTTGTAGAAAACGGAAAGCCAACAAGAAGACGAAGAAGGACTGAGATAAATTGTGTGCTGTCTGGGTTACTGGGAAGTGCTTAGTCTTGTTTCCAGTCGCAGAAGAGGAAGGGGAAGTAGTGATATTGCTTGTGGACATGATTATGACGATGGGTTAAGTTCATGCCCTGGATTGTCTGAATCCCGAAATTTCTTAAATACCGCATGTGATATCGCGAATGCGCAAGACCCCTCCACCACCAAACTGTTGTTGTTATAGGTAGACTCCTGTTCCTTCTCGAGTGTGACATTTTTGGTTGAGCCTTTGCAGTAGACAGTACACTCCCCTTGTGAAGCAGGCCTAGTTTCATGTATGTGTAACTCACGTAAATATCGCGTGCATGTTAGTTAGAATTTAAAACCTTGTCATAACTTTAAAAAAAAAAGACCTTTATTATGAATAGTCCGAAAGTTGCTAACGGGTAAGGAGAGGGAGGGGGCAAAATGGGAGATTTCTCTGCGAAATGCCCATTGGCTGTGTCCCATACTCAATTCACCCCATCAGACCTCTCCTTAATGATTCAAATACATTTCTCAGATGTATGCCCTTACGAAATAAGACTCAGTGGCGACACTAGTCTCTTGATACTGTGGGTGCAAATAAGGTGAAACTGACATCATTGGGTTAGGGTAAGGGTTAAGTTGACGTTTACCAATCTACCTTCGTGGTGGACTCTCAGAATTGAGATTTCAAAAGCGGAAGTGCATATAGGCGCTAGCCTGCCATGGACGGCGTGAGGAAGTTCAAAAATAAGTTGGTGCATTCTGACACATTTGAAATACGTTCATCTTTCTAGGATAGACCCCCCATCAGAAAATCACACGTTGCAGTTATCAAGGTCAATTTATCTGAATAAACGATCCACTATTGAAGCCAGTCCATTTTGATTTAGAATTAATTTCAGTTGTCCGACAATTCGAACCAAAATGAATTTTGTTGATAATTATGTAGTGTATCGCAGGCTATGAATGGTTCTTTGACGACGTTTACATAAAAGGCGTTTTTACATTGGTCGAATCTTACAATGACGTTGTGGATATACCTTATTATGTATTTTTAGACCTAATTAAGATGCAAAATGTACGTTATCACGTGATTTTATTGCAGATCAAAGGTCAAATTAAGACTAGTTTCTGCCTAAATTTTTCAGTGACGTGTGTTGGAATGGTTCGGACTATACTTCAAGACTGAGGTATTAAATTACTTAGCCTCGTTTGAAAAATAAAAAAACATGGCCGAACGTCTTATCAATTAAATTACTCCTCAAGTAATGTTTTTCAATTTTTTTTAGTAACTAATGTAATTCAATTTGGAGGAGAATATAGACATGTGAATATTACTGCAATTATATATTTTTGTAAGTATCGTTTTCTGTTATTATTCGCGACAATATAATACTTAGTAATACACATGAATGATCATATACCGTACTGTAAGTAATAATAAGTTGTATAGTAACTGTAATATTACTGTCCGGCATTAATGTTTACAGAATCTCATTTTATCAATAGTTTTTGTATAAATTGAATGAAATCTACCCCTTGATATTTTGATGCACATGCCAACCAAAGAAAAAGTCATTATTTGAAGTATGATTCTACAGGAGAGAATTCCATTGTGAAACGTGGGACATTCCTAAAGAAAATTGTGTTTATTTTGAAATAAATGTCAATTCCCTAAACCGTAGGGTAGGGCCTATGTTTCTGTGGACCTGAAGCCATTCTAAGCAATATATATATATTGAATACAATGGAAAGTGTTATTTTGAATACTGTTAATTGTGAAATGACAGAAAAATTCTGCAAGTTTCTTATTGCTTAATCGCTATGCTGGTGGGAACAGGTAAAACACATTGAAACATGGCATAAAGATTAACCAGTGATTGTTGTTCCAAAAAACAGTGTTAACATCAGGTTAGTGCTACTAGACAATTGGAATTGGGACTCCAATGACAGCTGGAGCCATGGCGGTTCAGTGAATTAGACGCTTGTTTGTTAACCTGAAGGCCCAGGGTTCTATCCTGGCATAAGTTGAGATAATACTTTCCGATTTGTCAATCCGTTTTCTCTTGTCAGTGATGCAGATCCGTGGGACTGACATGAAAAAAGCTTCTAGTGTGGTATCCAATGACAGTTGGAAATTGACAAAGAGCAGGCTAATGCCACTTTCCTGGCAAAATTTCCCTCATTGCAAACTGTACGGCATTACTTAGAACTCCAGTCATTCATTCAATTCATTATTTCCAGATAATATCTGAACAGATTGAGCATATTATGCTTGTTGTGACATCCTGGCTAACAGCTGGTATGTGTGACTGTGATCTGGTTCCTCAGGTGTGAAGTTCATGAATAATTAATAACATTTATATGAAAGATCATATAGATATTGGTAGTGAAATGATATCTGTCTTTATAAACGTGTCTAGTCAAATAGTTGATACCGGTATATTTCCTCCACCCCAATATTCAGCATGTCTTATTAACTTTAAAACATCTCATTATTAAAGATGGGTTTCTTTATTTTTTAACCAATCATAAATGTACATGTATGTACAGTCTGGATAAACAAAAAACACTTTTTTACCTCTTTTGATCGGTCACTCATTGCATTGGAATTCTGCTGGTAATTCTCTTCTAATTTAGCTAAATATGAATTAATTATGGACATTTGAGATAAGCTGGTATTTTTCCAAGTCATTAGAACACCTCTACTTTCTATACATATAAGTATTAGCATTTTCATAAATAAATATAAGGGAATCCATTGATTAAATAGATTATATTGTTATCTAAATAATGTCTTCCCAATTTTATAGGACTTCAAGTGGTATTTACTTTCTCTCCTCCAAAAATAAAAACTTCTTTCCTACAGATAATTTGTAGTAAAACAATAGCCTATGACTTTTTGGATATTCCAACCCTTGAAACTGCCCTTAGCCTTTTCTGAAATAACAGAAACCAGACATATTATTTAGATGACAGTGTCCAAACAAACATAACTAAAGTGTAATACTGCCCTGGTTTACATCTCTATTTATTCTATCCAAAAACCTCTTTGTTTGCATAGATCTCATCGATAGTATTATTGACTACAACGGCACAATGCATATCCAAATTTCCAATGTTATGACTACAAATACTGCTGTTTATTTATTTGAAATGGGAAAGAGCCAGATGTTGAAATTTTATTATGGAAAGTGTTACAGTAGCAATAGCAAAATTGAGATTAATGAGATGGGAATGAAGCATGTTTTCAGGCAGCTATATCTATATAACCTAGGCCTATAGGTTCAAAAGAAGTTCTAAAGAGCACGTATGGTCGGCTTGGTAATGTATTAGAATTGGTGGAACTAATAGGACTAGTATTACTTGGAATTGTTGATGCCAGGATATCAGCCAAGGAATCAATAATGGTTGAATGAAGGTACTCATTGTTGTCTAAAATCAAATGTTTCCTTTGTATTTTGATCTCTACAGTTCATGAATTATTAGTGATACTTTAGATTGTTTGTTTGCTCCATTTGTCATACACGATTGTTCTTGATTTACTAATGCAGCCACAAGATATTTTTGACATATGCCATCATAAATGCTTAAAGGGGCATTCCGCTTTTTTTGTAAAACATTTTCATTATCAAAAGGTCGTAAATTATACCTGAAAATATTTCTCAAGTATGCGATTTACATTTATGTTTTTACTTGGATCAAACTGAGTTTGTTTTAAATGGGTTAATTAAAAACAGAGAGTACTAATTGTTAATTAAACAGTTTGACAGTCAAACTTTGACCTAGTTTTGGTGTTTGACTTTATAATGGCATGACATTATTAGTTGAAACCTTTAAAATACGTAGGAGACATATTTCTCTACAATTAAGCGTTTATTTTACTTAAATCCGTACAGTAGTTTTTCAAAAGCTTCCAAAAAGCATCTAACAAACTTGAAGACCTTACATAATGTTTTTTAAATACTTTCTTTTGGCATTAAAAAATTGGGGCTGGATTTATTTAGTTTAAATTTTCACATATGTTAAGGGTCAAACTTCTCTAGATTTTGTTGTATAGTTTTCATAAATTTGAGCAATGGAAATTTTTGACAAAAAAAGCAGAATGTCCCTTTAACATTGTTCATCAGGGTAGTACAAGCTTTTGATTCTATTATTGTGCAACACGTCATGTACAAAATGGCTGAACTCTTGTGCTTTTATCTTGTTCAGGGAATTACGAGAACCACATACATTTATTGGGAAATCAGATTGGAGCATGTTTCCTAGAGCGTCTAGGATACACATATGTCCAAAAACGTCTTTTGAAGTTCAGTTCAGGCCCAACTCAAACTATTACTGTGATGGTTTGCTTTGTAATGGATCATGCACACTCCTTTTATGAACATGTGATATCCTATTTCATAGCTATTTTGTTTACTTAAAAGCATTTTTACGACATCATGGATGAATTATTGAGTGTTAAAATCTATAGTAGGTTCTAGAAATGTTTTATAATGTCATCAGAGATAGTTACAAAATGTTAATGATATAAAAGTTCAATCTAATAGATAAGTGTGATAAGTTACTAATTAGTTAGAATACATTAATAATAGATGTTCTGTAATTCCCTGGTGAAAAATAGTCTTGGTCTAATGTATTCACAGCTTTTTATTGTTATTATCGAGCCAAATGAGTTGTCTCTGACATCAGAACAATTTTATCAACCTGCTTTATTGATCTTTGCAATGTCAAGCCAATACAAACCTCTTCTTATAAATTGACTGCAATAGCTACCTTTTTTCTTGTGTCATAGAAGTTTGTAAATGCAATGATTTGGTTGGATTGTAAGTTAATGAATGCAGCCAATCGACAGAAAGCCTGTAAACAATAAGCCATAATGTCAAGAGTTCTTATCGGCTGTATTTGCTGGTGTACAACCCAATCAAATCGTTGCATTCTGTAAAACAAGAATGGTGGCTATTGCATTCAAGGTATAAGACATAGTTGATAACAGCTTGACATTGTGAAGATGGAGTTTATCTTTTTGTCATAAATTAACAGTGAATAACCATGCGTAATGAGTACAAGTAAGTAAAGCCATGAAAGCAGTGAGCATTCATATAACATATTTCCAACTGGCTGAACACATTCACCTAAGTAAGTAAGTAACAGTAAGTAAAGAAAGTAACTATTTAATACAAGGATAACAACTTATTTTCACGAGGATCCTGGGACAGATAGGCCATTTTTTTGACCAATCATACTTTAGTCTCAGAAACTGGAATTTTTTTAGCTGAGCTAATCAGTTATAGTTTTCACAGCTCACCATCGAAATCTGAGCCTTCAAATCCATGTGTGTCCAGAATTATCTGGGTTTGAATGTTAAAATGACGACTTGTCACTTTGAGATACTATGTGATATATAAAAAAGATATATATAGAAATAGTGAGTAAAATTCCTAGTTTGAGGTATATTTGAAAGGATTTGAAGAGATTTTTGTTCTGGTATTTCTGAAGGCTTTTAACAATTATCATAGCAATTGTTTTAGAGTATTTAAACAAGGAATAAAAAGTTCATCTTATTACTGTTTGGGAGACAATAGTAATGGCCAATATACTGAAAAAATATGTTTTGATTCAGTTGTAGATGAACTTGATGTCAAATCTTACAAGTTGCGGAAATTGAGTTGTGCAATCAAAAATAAGTATCAAAACGGCAATGTTTGAAAGCAAAATGATTTAGTAGGTTCTGTTACATTATCATTCATTGTATTTACATGTTTCTTCCAGGTGATAAATTTTGAGTGATTTATTGATGAGGTTTGTTTATTTTTATTGGTTATTAATTTCTATGTTTTAATCCATAAATTAAATATGAATTATGAGATCGTGTTTTAATAGTTTGAAAAATAATGAACCCGTGATTGAGACAGATGTTATATTGTCAGTTTAGTTTTCCTGGTGCAATATTACATCTAGTATCTATGCTATACATGCTGCCTCTTCTGCTAAAATTTGCAGTTCAGAGGCTCATCAAGTTAATTTCATGCTTGCTAACCTGAAGATGCAGGATTCCACCCTAGGATAGGTCTTAAGTAATACCTCTGGATTTTTCAAAACCAATATCTCCTTGTCAGTGATGCAGGTTGCAGGGGCTGACATAGACCAAGAGCCTTGTCATTTAAATGGGACAATGACCCAGGGGTC